AGTTATAACAGTTATAAATGTTTATATACCCAACATCAGAGCATGAAACAAAGACTGCTGGTCCTAAAAGGAAAGATAGACTCTAACACATTAATTGCTGGGATTTTGAAAACTCCACTCTCTCCACTGGATAGATTATCTGGGCAAAAAATAAAGAGACACTGGAATTAAATGATGCTCTAAACCAAATAGACCTGATAGACATTTACAGAACATTTTGCCCAATAAAAACAGCATATACATTTTTTCCCAGCAGCACATGGAACATTTTCTAAGTTGCCACGTGGTAGGGCACAAAACCCTTATGAATTTAACAGAATAGAAATCATATCTAGCATATTCTCTGATCACAGACTTAAACTTCAAATAAAAAACAAAAAGGGGAGCCAGCTGGTGTGGTGATTGAGGTAGCTGGATCCTACATGACCCACTGCGCAGTTTGAGTCTCAGACCTGATGGCTTCCAAAATATGCCAGGTGCTTGTGCGTGTGTAGCCAAAATCTCAAGAGTGGAAGAAAAGGGATGGCAGTGTGACCATCTCCCCTAGGGGATGCTTGCTCGCTTTCTCTCTCTCGCTCACTCACTTGCTCCCTCTCCCTGCCCACCCCATCTCTCCTTATCTTCCTCTCATTCCCTTCCCCTGATAAGTGTACATACCCTACAGCAAATTTTAAAAAAATAAAGAAAACCAAAAGAACTTTTGAAGACATACAAATATGTGGAAACTAAACTGCCTCAGCCTCCCAGTTAGCTAGGAGGGCCCTTTAGCCTCCCAGTTAGCTAGGAGGGCCCCTTAGTCAAACCCAGGCTTCTCATGGGGCCTTCGCCATGCTCAGGTACAGTTGGAGCCACAGCGCAAGAAAGGAAAAAGAGCCACAGCTAGGCGGGAGAGGAACGCAAACTCACAGAAGCCTGAACTACTGTGCTTGAACTTGGCGTTTTTTTCCTTGGAGGTGTGATTAGGTATTTAAAAATATAGGAAGTCGCAGTATGTGCATTTCAAATGATCACATTAGCGCTGATATCTACATCAGTGAGAGAATAAAAGGACTGCAGGCAGAAAAACAACTAGTAGGGCTGTTACGATATTCTAGAGGAACGATTATGTTGGCTTGACTTCATTCAGTAAACCTGTGTGTCATGGATGAGCTTACAGTGCCGAATAACGTGATTTCTGCCCTTACATAGGGCCCACAATCTGCTGCAAAGACGTACAGTAAATAAACGTAAAAACATATAATAAAAAAGACTGAGTACAAGTGACAGTTTAACAGAGATTCAAGAGGAAGCATTGGCCACTCCTATTAGTCAGTTGGATTTAGAGGGAGAGAGAGATGCCTAGAGAAAATCAAGGGTTTCTCTGGAACACTTCAGAGCTATTACCAAGGATCCACCTCTCCCCCCAGTTTCCGTGAGTCGTGATTCATTGATGTGTTTTTATTACAGTGTAAAGGCTCAGTGCTGCTTTTCTTTCCTAGAGGAAGGCACTCCCTGTGCTCACACACACACACACCCTTGTTGATCATTTTAAATGAGTGAAAGCCAGTAAGACCTGGTTTCTCAAAGTGTCTGCGTTAACACTTTGGTTGGAGGGCATATTTCTATCTAATTAAAGTAGATTTGAGCATGTGATAGAATATGAAACTGTAAGCATTGAACTTCAGAATTTATGAAAAAGGGAGCTCTATTACTGTGGTATAGGGTGTAAAAGTGAGATTTCTTTGGTAAAATACCAGAAATGTCTTGAATTTTTGCAATGCTTAACCTTTCTTTATACGAGAGACCAGAAAAAAAGAGTACTGGTTTTGTAATCGACTGACATGTTTTCAGTAATGCCCATGTAGTGGGCATTTTGTTGGGTAGAATGGCAGGGACTTCTATATGGAGGCCTAGAATTAGAGCTGCAAGGCTCATTTAAAAGACCAGCTAATACGGTAACTCTTAGATACCCAAACAGGTTTCAGGTGAACTCCTTGAAATTCTTTGTAATAGTGGGCAGAGATGTTTTTGATTATGTCGAGTAAGGGGAATTCTTGTCACGTGCTCGTAGACCTCTCTGATGAAAGAGCCACCTTCATTTTCAGCCATGAGGAAACAGGCTATTAGACTTGTCTAAAGTCTTGAATAAGTTCTCAAATGGTGATTTGTTTTGTGTTAACTTTTTTTTTTTTTTAAAGTTTCTTTTGGTCTTTGTGCCAGCCTGCCTGCCTGCCTGCCTTTCTTCCTTCCTCCCTTCCATAACTGAGAGAGTCAGAGCAGCACCTCCAACAAGATCCTAATGCTGCAGGCTACCCCCTTGGTCAGCAGCCCAAGATCAGGGGCATGTACATGCCCAGCATACTTAGGGAGGTCTAAGCCAGTCTGGAACCCTATGCTTGGGGCATCCTCACAAAGCATCATCTTTCCGTGCTGTGCCATCTGGCCCCTGGTTTGTTTTTCAGTATAATTTTTAAAATTTAACTTTATTTGTTCTTATTGTTTATTTGTTTTAATTTGACCAAAGGGAGACAGAGAAAGGGAAAGTGAAAAAGCAAGCCACCTGGTCAAGGCTTGAACCACGGTCAACCATGTGGGAGTCCAGCATCACAACCACTGTGCTCCTCCCGTCCTTGTCTTTTCAATAGAATTTTAATGGAAAAGCCTTAATATCCAATATGACCTTGTAGCCAAAAGAGTTCAGAGTATTAGAAAGGCTTGACTTGGGAACCAGCAGTTAGCATAATGGCTATGTCGCTGGACTCCCACGTAGTCGACCGTGGTTCGCGTCCCAGACCCAGTGGCTTAGAACTCAACGCCGGGTGCATGTGAGTGTGTGCCCAAGATCCTTAGAGGAGAATGGAGGAGAAGGGATTGCAGCGTGACCACCCCCCCTGGGGGGTGATTTCTCGCTTTCTGTCTCTATGTCTCTCTCTGTCTGTCTGGCGAGCACACGCACCCTATAGCGGAAAAAAAAAAAAGGCTTGACTTATTTTTTCATTAGCTGTTATATGGTGATTTTAAAGTAATAGTACATGCTATTATTCAGAATACATTCTTCACTGTAACATCTCAGCACAGTATTTTTAAAGAAATTCTAGGAAGGGTGTTAACTCATTTAGAGTTCTCCAGGAAGAAGGACTTTCCTACCATTTCTTATGCATAACTTTCACTGACAAGATCAGGCCAGAAAAAGCCAGGCTGGCTGTTGGCCCAGATAGTTACAATCATTGAAGAGTATTCAACCTGCACTGCCTGGGGACAGCTACTACTGGGGCGGGGGACAAGAAAAACAACACAGATGTATGCTGAGTGTTCCAGTGACTTAGCTGACGTGGATACTCTGTATCCTTTGCTCTGTTCTTTCAACTATTAAAAAGGAAATTTTAAAATAGCCTAGAATTTATGTTTTTCCAGTAGGATGAAAAGGATAGCTTCCACTTTTAAAAAATTGCCAAGCTATTTACAGCTATGGCCTAAGCTACTAAAACAGCGTCTGACACACAGTAGACACCTAATTTTGATTAAAAATTATTTTATTTTGCTACCTATTTCAGAATGAGAACTTTTGTTGTTGTTGTTCATTGATAATAAGTATCATATTTCAAGGAAGCTAATCATGGATCATTTCTACCTAATGAGTTTATGTTAGGTATGTGAAATTGTTTACAAATAATTAGAACATTCATTTTTAAACAACAGAAATATACTTAATTGACTTTTTACTTGCCAATTTGTATATACCTTGAGTAATAATAGGTATTTGGTAGATACCATATTTTAGGTATTGTAACATGTATAGGAGCATTTTCTAGGGTGGAAATATAATAATAGCTTTTGAGATGTTCCATGATTAGAATTTGGGAATGCGGGATAAAATTTCTATATACTACCATAGCCCTCAGAGATTTTAAGTATCCATTTATATAAGCTCCCCAAAATTCCTACATATAGAAACATATAAACCTTTCTTTTTACTTCTACCCAATGCTTCTCTACCTTATGTAATTGGAAAACATTTTTGTCATCACGTCTATTAACATTCACTGGAATGTTTTATTAAGCACTGGTATGAGTGATGATGATTTTGATGCCGTGAGTTTAACAGTTTATATGAAATGCTAAGCATGAACCTGATAAAATTTTTTTTAAATGAGATTGCTATGAGTTGGCTATGGTTGTGATACCTGTCACTTATACTCATGGCCAAATCATAGAAACTGATCTGTTAGAATTCATTGAATAAGTAGTCTTTCTCTGTTATGTGACTTCCCCCAAACTGCTTAGTCAGAGAGGGTAATCTTTCCACATAGAGGAGGTCTGCACCTACCTTTATTGCCCTTAAATTTACTGATTTGTATACTGTCTAACATGCGAGTTACTACTTTTTTTCAACAACTGTTTAGTTGTAATATGTATACAGTAAACTGCATCAATTTATATTTGCAATCTAATTAACTTAGACAGATGTAAACCTGTAAAACCAGCTCGGTGCAAGGTACAGAACATTTCCATCAGCCCTGAAAGATTGCTTTTGTCCCTTTGCAGTCCAGCTTTTCCTCTTCCCCAGGCTTCAGCCACCCACTGGTCTGGGTTTTTTGGGGGGTTTGTAGTTGTTGTTACTATAGCTTACGTTAGATTTATCTAATAATTTATATAAATGTAATCATATCATTTTTTTAATGTCTGTTTTATTTTATTTAGCACAGTGATTTTGAGAGTCAGCCATGTTGAGTGTTTTGGTTGGTTGTTTCTTTTTGTTGTCCCAAGTATCTTGTTAATACACTCATAAACTGACAGACATCTGGGCTATTGACAGTTTGTGACTCATAAATAAAGTTGCTCCGAACATCCAGGTGTAAGTCCTTTGTATGGACATATATTTGTGTTTCTCTTGAATAAATACTTAGGAGTAGAGTAGTTGGGTTGTTAAGGTAGGTTGTAGGTTGTTTTTCACTTTTTAATAAACTGCCAAATTTCACTTCTGGACCTCGTTAATCTATGTTGTCCCATCTTCTTTATAGGCTTTGATGCGACCTGGAAGAATTGATAGAATCATCTATGTGCCTTTACCAGATGCAGCAACAAGAAGGGAAATATTTAACCTGCAGTTTCACGGCATGCCAATTAGTAAGGAGGTTGACCTGGATGAACTCATTGTCCAAACTGATACATATTCAGGAGCAGAGGTAAGGTAGTTTACTTCAAAATACTTGGGTATTCAAGACCAGCAGATGACATAATGCTTATGTCCTTGGACTCCCATGTAATCAGCTGCAGTTTGAGTCCCAGACCTAATGGCTTAAACTCATGCTGGGCATGTGTGCGTGCATGTTCAAAATCCAAGGAGTAGTGATTGCGGCATGACTATCCTCCCAGTGGGGTGATTTCTCTCTTTCTCTGTCTCTCCAGTGAGTGCACACATCTTATAGCAAAAATCTCTTAAAAAACAAACAATCTTGGGTATTCTTCTTGGAGGTAAACAGTGGCTTGGAGTCATTAAGTTAAAGAAATTACTTGCTGCCAACTGTTTTAGATGACTATATAAGAAAAAAAAATCTTAAAATGGAAAGTTTACCACAGATAAATCCAATTAAATTACATTTTACCTGGCCTCTCTTACTATATATCTCAATTGTTTTCTCCTGGCTACTGTTAGCTCTCAGAAGGGTAGTCTTTGAATATTATTGTAACATAGTGTAAAGAACTCCTGGACTAATAGATTCTTCTGTTGGACTTCTTGATACAGTGATTTCCACCCAGTTCACACCTCTCTGAACTTTGATCTCTTTATCTATCAAGCAGAAATGATAGTACAACCTGCCTTCCTTGCTGATGTCTTATGGAGCGCATAGAAATGAAATTAGGATATCATGAGTATAAAAGACTTGGCCAAGAGATTGTAGGGAGATCATCTCAGTTTACTTGTGTATTAATCAAGATTCTCTCACAAAAGTAAGGAGACCATCTGCCCTTAGCTATAAACGTGTGCTCTCAACAAGGACAACAAACAAGACTTCTATGAAAATCACTTTTATGTATGGAAGATAAACATTATTTTTCCCTCTCCTTAGCAACTCTTACTTGGGCTGTTTTTATTTACAAAAGAATATTTCTCCAAATTTGTGACTTCTCTACATACTTTTTTTTTTTTGGAGAAGTTTTTGCTATAGGGTACATGCACTCGCCAGAAAGACAGAGACAGAGAGACAGAAAGCGAGAAATCACCGCCCTCCCCCCTGGGGGCGGGGGGGATGGCCACTCTCCAATCCCTTTCTCTTCCACCCTCCTTTCGGGATCTTGGGCGCACACGCACCAGGCGTGAGTTTAAGCCACCTGGTCCAGGACTTAAACCACAGTTGACTACATGGGAGTCCAGCCACAGCCGTCACGCCAACTGCTGGTCCCTCTACATACGTTTCTTAGGAAAAGGACTAAATATATATAACACAGAAATAGTTTCTAAATACCACTAACGTGTACTAGGAAATTAATTGTTTTTATGATAGAAGTTGTGCATTCTTTTCAGTATGAATTATTATGCTATTGTTTTCATCTGTCTTCTGTAAAAACCAAAGAGATTAACATATAGCAGATGATTAGTGGTACTCAGTAGGTAAATTTACACATGGAATTGAACTTTAGTATGTCATTCAGTCAGAGCTAATAACAACCACCAAAAAGAATATTTCATTTTTCTCCTTTAGGTTTTTTTAAATTCCACCTAAAAAAAAAAAAACGTAGAAAGTATTGAATCATTGGAAAAGTCATGACACATTTTTGCATAGGAAAACATAGAAAAGTACGTCATGACTTTTCCGACAACCCAATAGTTTGAGAAGTGGTTGAACTATACTTATTAAGTCCTGTTTGAAACATTAATCTTTATGAGCATCTCTTTGGCAAGACCATCCATAAAATTAAAATGAACATGGAGTTACTGTTAACTGAGTGTTCCAGCATTTGTAGAATTCAGTTTTTGATGTGCAGCTAAGGGCTGGCATCTTATGAATGATACGCAATTTACGGGAAACAGCAAGGAGAAGAAACCATTAATCTTTCACTTACATTGAGGGAAGAGGAAGAGCAGTTAGCAAGATATACATGAGCCTTTCTCACTTTGAAGTCATTCATGGTAGTAACAGAAGCACAAAATAAAAATAAATGCCAATGAGATTCTGTCTGATCGAAAGAAAAAAAATCCTTTCCGTGCCAGCAGTTATTATACCAACTAGCTAGTTCTCGTATAGTTACTACACGTCTTACTCAGTCTAAAATACAAGCACATTGAAGATTAATTTCATATCAGATCTTCTAAAATAAGTCACAGGAGGAGTAACAAAATTCTGAGCTTCCTCAAGTTATATTTTTGTGTCACATTTTGCTTGGGCGTGTGCATGTGGATCCCACTGTGTTTCTATGTATAATCAGTATATTATTACACCTTCATAGACATCTTAGCCTAAAGCAGCTTCATCTTAGTAGTTCTGTGGTTTTTAATGTGCATGAGAGGTTTGTTCCATGTTGGTTTTTTTTCCCTTTTTTCTTTTTGTGTATGAATATTTAGGCAGTTCACACAGGTTTTAAGGATAATTATTATCATTTTTTGTCTTAAAAATGAATGAGTAGATAGAAAATTTAGGACAGGTAAAAACTTAGCTTTAGATAACATATAAAATTTCATCTTCTGTCTTTGCATTAGAATGAAAATGCATCTGTAATGTTCGAAAGCCAAAATCAGGACTGATTTTCTTTCAATAGTAAAATAGATTCAAAGCCAGAACCTTGGTCACCTAACTCCTACAGAGTCTATGCTTTCCAAATGCTGACATAATGAATTTATTCCTCCCCAGGCTAAGGCCGTTTCATTCAGCACAGAACTTACCATGTGGACATTTAACAAATATTCTCTAAACTGGAGGATAAATAATTTAAAATTGATATTTAGGATAAATAGATTCCAGGTCTTACCTGTCAGAAAGGAGCCCTGTAACTTAGAGCAGTGCACCTTGCTACAGGCACAGCAGCGTTCTCAAAGTCTGGAGTGTCAGTTTGGCTGCTTTTGGTATAAAAATCTAGATACCAATCAGGTAATTTTCTTCACAGGTGAGTAGCATGTTATATTGAAGATTATGAAAAATTAATGTTATTAAATTATACACTCTTAGCTATATGAACAAGAATTAGGCCTGGTAGGCCAGCAGTGAGGAAATCCTTGGCACTCTTAATTGTTCTTTAGAAACAGTATGTTTAAGTGTACTCAGATTTTTTCTTTTTTTTTTTTTAATGAAAAAGTCATTGGCGGGGGTTGCTGGCAGGTGGCGTGGTGATGGTTAAGGGCACTGGACTCCCACCTGACTGGCTATGGTTTCTGTCCTGGACCTAGTGGCTTGCTTTCTCCTCCCTCCCTCGCTCTCTCTCTCTCTCTCTCTGTCCCTCTCTGGTCCAATTTAAATAAATAAGTAAAGTTAAATAAAATAATTCTTTATTTAAAAAAGAAGGTCCTAGAGGATGATAGAGATGATACTGGTACTTTTCTGACTAGGAATGGGGGAAGTCCACTCTAAAAATATTTTCTTTTCACCTGGTAACGTATTTTGCCCCAACAACGTTCCGTAAAAGTGTACAAAGGCCCAGTGTTTGCAAAAGCTCCTTATACCCTCTGTGAGCTACTCCATTTTCCCTCCCTGGGGAAGGAATACAGAGAAGGGAAACATGTTTTTCTAAGACTGAGGAGGGTCCTGAGAGGAAGTTTGTAGCCAGCTGGAAGGGCAATGCTGCCACTAGGGAGTAGCCTCCAAGGAGGGGCTGAAACAGCAGCCTCCTTCAGCCACCTCTGCTGCTGCCACTCACTCTCCTGGGGCTGCGACCCTCATTGTCTTTGGCGGCTTGGCTGTGGCTCTTGGTTAATGGAAAAATATGTCGCCATTGAAAAGCAGATGGGAATTTGGCTGGGGCGGAAATAAGTCTTTTTTGGTTGCAGCTATTGTTTTCTTATGCTTTGATTTTTGTGTTTTAAGTTATTTGTAGCAGATCCCACTTCACTTATTCATTTGTCTTTTATCAAGTTAATCCTGGTTACTTTCGGGAAACTTGCATCTCCGACAGGAAATCAGCTGTCGCGAGGATGTGCACATGAAAGCCATAACCAGGCTCATTACCCAGTGTGCCCAGTGCTTGGGAACAGAGGTGACGAGTGCGACACAGCATTTCCTCTGTGTGAGGGAACGTGCTGACATGGGCCAAAGACTCTAACTGTAAAATTTGGATTGAATTCTCATTCGTGTTTGGGTATCGTCATCTTTTTAGTGATTATTTCATTAAATGAAATGGATAAAACCTAAGACTCAGGTTTCAGCTCTGTATTTTATAAATAATATTGTTATCACAGCACTGATTACAGATCAAGGTTTTAGGATTCAACTTTCTAGACAGGCAAGAAAGTAGGGGAAAAAAGAGAATTTTGATGTTACAATTGAGTACTCCTTTAATAGAATCCCAGGTGGCTTTGGGAAAGTTATTTAATTCCTTTGAACATCGATTTCATTTGCCAAATATATATGTGAATGAACTTATTTTGAGGGCTAAATGAGACAACAAATGTAGGAACACAGAAACAACGCCAGTCACCGAAAGTGTGCCCTAAATGTTACGTCTGTTCATTCTCTATTCATGTTATAATTTATTCCTGAAGTAAGGTCAGTACTTACATTACCAATGAAATGTTGAGTGATGTTGCTATAGTGTGGTAATATGTTTCACATTGCTTTAATAACCAGATAAATAATTTATCTGGAAGTTAAATGAAAATTGTATTTGCCTTATTTTACTTAAATGTAAAAACGTGCTTAATAGAGTGAGGTTTTTGATGTGTTGTTATGAATATAACTCTAGAAAGAATTTTAAAACAATTTCTTAGTGCTAAATACATTTCACTCTCAAGTTTTCCAAAAGCTCTAACTTTATGTAAACTTTGTTTATCCCTTTTTTATTAAAATGGTCTGTCTTGCTCTGAATTCTGTTTTGTAGTCTATGCCTTCCTGGGTCTAATAATAGCTCAGAGTCTTCCTGCCAGCTCAACATTAAAAAATCACCTTCTAGTGTGCCTCATTAATTCAAGAAGGGGTTTATTCACTGCACTTGAGCTATTATAACTAATAAAAAGGAGAGCCTTAAATTACTTTTCTAT